GTCAATCATAAAGTCTAAAGGTTTTCGTTTGAGTATATCTAAAACTAAATATATGAAGTGTAACTTTATTAGTAATAGACCTAGTGAGTGGCTTGTGACTTTGGGCGATCAAGTCATTAATAAAAGTACACATTTTAGATATCTTGGATCTATTATTTAGAGTGATGGTGAAATAGTAGGGGATATTATCAGTATAATTCAAGTTGGATGGTTGAAATGGAGGAATGAATCGGGCTTGTTGTGTGATAGAAAAGTCTCCCTCAAACTTAAGGGAAAATTCTATAAGATGGTGGTGAGATCTGCAATGCTTTATGGTGCCGAATCTTGGTCATTAAAAGAGAAGCATAATACTAAGTTAAGTGTTGTAGAGATGAGGGTGCTCAGGTGGATGGCTTTACCCCTAGAGATAGAATACGAAATGAGCATGGATGTTCTTTTTGCTTTAGTCATGAATGTTCTCACTATACATTTGCGAGAGTATGTACCTTGTTGTATGATTTTTGTTGATGATAATGTTCTTATTGATAAGACTAGAGAGGGAGTTGTTGGTAAACTTGAATTATGGAGGTCAACCATAGAGTCTAAAGGTTAATTTTTGCTTGATTAGATCTAAAACTAAATATATGAAATGTAATTTAAGTAGTAATAGACTAGTGAGGGGTTTGTGACTTTGGGCGATTAAGTCATTAATAAAAGTACCCATTTTGGATATCTTGGATATATTGTTCAGAGTGATGGTGAAATAGAAGGGGGATATTATCAGTAGAATTCAAGTTGGATGGTTGAAATGGAGGAATGAATCGGGCTTGTTGTGTGATAGAAAAGTCCCCCTCAAACTTAAGGGAAAATTCTATAAGATGGTGGTGAGATCTGCAATGCTTTATGCTGTCGAATCTTGGTCATTAAAAGAGAAGCATAATACTAAGTTTAAGTGTCGCAGAGATGAGGTTGCTCAGGTGGATGAGTGGCTTTACCCCTAGAGATAGGATACAAAATGAGCATATACGTGAAAATGTTGGAGTACCTCCAGTGGATGATGAGATTAGAGAGTGTTGCCTTAGATGGTTTGGTCACATAAAACGATAGTCTTCAGATGACCCGATTTGGAAGTAGAGGTATTATATTTGATTTATGTTAAGAAAGGTAGAGGTAGACCTAAGCACACCCCGTATATATACATTGCTTCACAGTGCACTCTATATACACACATACATCATATTATTATTGTTCAAGTGGAATGTAAAAGTAGAAAGTATTTAGGATACTTATAAAATAAAGTGAAGTAGAATGTATCTAGGTGCAAATATATATACAAGAGTTAAGTGTAAATGTAAAGTTTCTAAAATGTAACTAAATCGAGTTGTATATATTTATTGAGTTATAAAGGCTTAAAAATATATGCGTATACGTATACATATAAGGCTCCAAAATAAACTCCCCTCTCTTGGGGACGCTCTCTTTTGGAATCCTATAGAAGATCCGAAGCTAAAAGATGACAAGCGAGTATATTTAAACATGCATTTCATAGGAGTAGATAACCAGGTTTGTTGTGGTAGAGTTAGACCACCTTATTTTATTGCAGACCTTAGGTTGTATTTATTTTCTAAATAAATGAATAAAATATTTTATTTATATATTCATTTCTTGCATCATACATGGTGCTAGGTAAATTCATTTACATATTTTATATAATCCTTATTACACTCTTTGAATTAAATACCCTTGACTCCTTAGGATTAGAGCCCTCCACTACACGAAAAATGTCATTTTCCGGCGGCCATTTTCGCCGGAAAATGGCCAAAATCCGTCAGAAAATTGCATTTCCGACGGATTTCCGGCAGAAATATTTTCATCGGTTTCACGCGCGTCGTTAAAGGACTTCCGGCGTAAAATAATTCGCCGGAACCATTTCTGGCGAATTTCCGACGGATTTTTCGCTGGAAAAATATTTCCGTCGAAATTTTTATGCGCCGGAATGCCAAGAAAAAAAAAAAAAAAATTAAGCGCCGGAGCCATTTGCTCCTGCAGCTCCCACAATCCGCGCTCCACAGCTGCCCCACCCCGCTTGTTTTCCCGTGGACATAGCCCGCCCCTCGACTGAATGCATCCCGCCCGAACAAGCCAACCCGAGACGACCAGCCCCAACCTCACAACCAAGCATGCCCTTATCTTAATATATCTAATTCTTTCATTACTATCTAGTGACATAAATACTTATTTTTATTTATTTATTTCTAAGATGAACCTTGATACAAATACTATTAATTTGCATCAACAAAATCATACATTAGTCATGTAGTAGAGAATTGATCCATTATGGGTTCACATACCATAAGTTGTTCTTCTCTTCTCAATCTACAAACCCTAATTCACCACCGTTTTATGATGATTCCAAGCCAACTAAGCATCTTAAACAACATTTCAATGGATAATATACAAAGTTGTGTCTCATTTATGAGTGTGCATTTGGTTAGTTATGATGTTTTGGTTCACAAATTAGTTAAAACAATCATATTGGTGATAGTTTTAGAAAATCAACATATCAAATTATTTTCTATGCTGAATTAAATGAAGCCAAATCTTAGTTTGATCAGTTCGATTAGATTTTGGATGAACCAAAATATGGTTAATTTTAATAATGAAACCAATTACAATATTTGACTAAAATATATTGTATTAAGAAACATATCAAATTATTTTAGTTAAAAGTTATGATTTTAACATATGATCCCAATAATATCTTGTTTTTATTTTTACAATTTTGTTTATTTATAGTTTATTTTCTTTATTGATTGAATATTTGAAGACATATATAATTTGCTTTTTGATTTGATGAGTTAAAAAAACTAAAGAAAATAAAAATTACAACGAAAAACTGAACCAAACTAATCAAATAAAATCAATTCAGTTTTTTTTTATCTAAGTAGTTCACACCCATAATCTCAACATATATTTTATTTCTATAATCAAAAGAAATAAGATGGTAGCCATGGCAAAAACAATTACATCAACAAGGACATTCATTTGATCTCTACTAAAATTCTTGTTACCCCAAACATTTTCTCTTTAGGAACATTGCTTCTGAATTTTGTATGAGCTCTGCCAACTAGCATGCAATCACATTCATTCATGGCATATTCTACATTTTCAAAGATGTAGCAAATCATATTGATTGCTAAAACTATTTTATTATGACTTTGTTTAGGACGGCTTTCTTATTGTTTAGGGTTATTACGAGTTTATTTTATTATGAAAATGACTAAAATTATTTTATTATGACTTTATTTTATTATTACTTTAAGAAGCAGTAAGAAATCCATCCAAAACAAAACCTATGTCAATATGTTTATGGCACATATTCCTATTGAAAATATCCATATTAACACTATTTCATCAATAATCATAATTAATAGACAACGATCTTTGTTAAAAAAGAAAAAAAGATAGCACCAATCTCCTTTAATGTACCACAAACCTTTGATTTTGATCCAGAAATTCAAACATAAATCTGCTTATCCAATTCATAGATATTATTGATGTCATAACTATATACACATCATAGTTCAATTGTTTAATATGTCACATTCATACAAAAATCTTAAAGATGATTTGTTATAGATTCCCTTCTTTCAATTTGACCAGAGGATCCAATGATCGTGAAGATGAATATTTTACTTAGATATGAATCTCAAAGATTATATGACTAATCTCTCCAACATATAATCTATTAAGATATTGACATATTCCCATTATATTTTTAATGGAATTCAAGTGAATATTTTTCACTTTTTTATTTACATGCAAGCTTGTTCACTACTTAGTCTGATAAAAAAAATGGGGGATTTACATAAATAATACTCCATATCATGCTATTTACATATCTAACACACATAGACAACTTTAATATCAAATATGTCACTCTAATATTTTATTTCTATCACCCATATCACCCTTTAAATCTTAATATATTATTCATTGCACCCATATTTGATAGACATGAAATTTTAAAGTTTTCAATGTTAAATATATAAATAGCATGATATAGAGTGGTATGTATGTAAATCCCCCTAAAAAAATAGAACTTGAAAGGTATTGCAACCTCATACATTGTATATGGAGCTTTTTTCATTCTTTAAAAATCAAGTCCTTTTTTTTTATGTTTGGTTTTTGGACACTTGAAACAATCTTTGTATTTATTGTCTTATTCACATGTTTACATATAAGTCTTTGTTAACTAATTGTGATCAATGGAGAGATTATTCTATCCGGAGTATGTCCGAACGCGTCCGTAGGCTAATTCAGGCACGCCACGTTATTCAATGTACTGTGCATTAGGTGATGTGGGGCGTCTAAATTGACCTCCAGACGTATCGGACGCCACACCTAATAATTTTTCCAATGACATAGGTTTCTTAAAAATTTCACAAAAAAAAAGGTTAAAATAGCAAAAACATTATAAATAATTTCCAATCACTCCCTGCCATACACCCTTATCTACACGCACATGCATCCAAAAGGTGACTGCCATAGAGAGTATATTGGGGGATAAGCAGATCTACTTGATAGGCATGTGAAGGCTTAGTATTTTTTCTTTCTTTCAATCTTTTTATCTTTCATGATGTTGTTGTAAATTAAAATATTTGATCATAAGATAAAGATCAAAATGATAATTTGACAATTTACATAGAACCAAAATGATCTTTATCATTTAAAAATCTAATTTAAGTTTCTTAACTTTTTAAATAGAGATCAAATCATCCCACCAAAAGACAAATTTCATCTCTATTTAAAGTATCAATGAATAGGTATTTGGTCCTTTAGTAAAAGTTAGGGGACCAATTTTCTGAAAATATTTGATATCTCAAAATATCATATTTAACTAAATCTAAATTTATTAAAAATAATAATTTTTTTAAAATTATTTATTGAAATAAATTACTCAGAAGTGTAGGAAGCACACCTCATAACATTATTCAAGCTCAAGGAAATGGAGATACTGTTTGACCAACTCCTTCACCATGCACGCAGTAGGAATTTGTGCTTGGAATCGTAGTCTGTAGTAAATTTTTTTATTTGTCTGTTCTAGAATTTACTGTCTTAAACTACTGTGACGCTGTGAGGTAAATAAATTCCCTCCTGTTCCTATATAAAGGTCTATATACTTAGAGACAATAAGAGTATCAGGAACAACTCAACTCATTCCAGTATTTTTCTTTCTCTGTGGCTTTGGCGAAAGAAATGGTGCTACTTGAATTAGTTCTTGCTCTGGTTTTTGGTTTTCTTCTTCTTTGCTGTGGATTGTTGAGGTGGAATGAAGTTAGATATAGGAAGAAGGGTCTTCCTCCGGGAACAATGGGTTGGCCTCTGTTTGGAGAGACCACAGAGTTTCTAAAGCAAGGACCAAATTTCATGAAGAACCAGAGAGCAAGGTTGGTTTGCTTCTCTCAACTTATTTCCTTGCTTTGGCATTCTGTTAAAGTTAAGGAATTTAATTCCTCTACTCATTTTATGATGATTCCTTCAAAGAAAAAAAATATGGAGAAGTTCTGGCGGAGTTTGTTAAGATTTGGTTTTCCATTTTTCCCCTTATTTCTTCCTTGCTTTAAATACCTTATACCTCTTGAGGAAATTCAGCCTCCCTCTCTCTCTCTCTCTCTCTCTCTCTCTCTCTCTCTCTCTCTCTCTCTCTCTGCCTTTATTTGAGCTTTTCCAGGAGATCCTGAACTTTTTAAGGTGACAGGGTTATCTTTTGCAAAGCTGCTTAAATAAATCCTGGTCTATCACTAAAAGCACTTGAAGCAATGTACATCTAATTAGTACAAGTTTATTTTTTTACTTTCTTACCAAGTCTTGCTTTTTGTAGTCTTAGTAAATGGCTTTTGACCTTTCGGTAATTTCCATTTTCAACTTTCAAGTTCCCTTTTTTTTTTTAAGTTTTTGATACATATTTTTTCTTATGAGAAATTTACAGGTATGGAAACTTCTTCAAATCTCATATACTTGGCTGTCCAACGGTCGTTTGCATGGATCCAGAGATCAACAAATATATTCTAATGAATGAAAGCAAAGGACTTGTTCCTGGATACCCACAATCTATGTTAGATATTTTAGGAGAATGTAATATTGCTGCTGTCACTGGTCCTCTTCACAAGTCCATGAAAAATGCCATGCTTGGTCTCATCAATCCCTCCATGATGAGAGAACAGCTTCTTCCTAAAGTTGATGAATTCATGAGATCTCATCTTAGTAATTGGAGTGAAAAAGTTATTGATATTCAGGAGAAAACCAAAGAGGTTGGTGAAGCTTTCAGTCTTTCAGAGTTTCAGCTTACTATTTGTAAATGAACAAATCTGTATTTGCTCTTCCCATGGATTTCTTGAAGTTTCTTTTGTCTCTGGAACAAAAGGAAGTGAGAAAGCCACTAACTATCTGCAATGATTCATTTCAAGAACTTAAGAAAATTTCTAACCATTTTTTAAACTCTGATTAGACAGTAGAGAGGTGTTCATCGATTGAAATATAAATATAATCTTATACGAAATTACTAATAAGCTTCATTCTTTTCTGTTATCAGATGGCACTTTATTCAGCTCTGAAACAGATTGCTGGCATTGAAAGTGGACCCGTTTCTGAAGCCCTTAAATCTGAGCTCTTTCAGCTTGTCTTGGGCACCCTCTCATTGCCAATCAACCTTCCTGGCACTAATTATCGACGAGCTTTTCAGGTTTCTTTTTTCTCAACCATGCTCCAATACACATGAGTTTTTTTTTTTTTTAAATCTTTTTGTGTAATTTGCATATGATATTGAAATATAACACCAAAGTTCATAAATTTAACTATATTTCTGCATCATAAAACTAAATCATGAAGAATTTAAGATATTATATAGAATAAAAGTTAGTGTTTTGGTTTATAAATAGGCAAAGATTTTGGTGTTACAAATTACCTCTCTTTTTAAGGAGAAATTATTCTGTGTGGAATCTGGACGGGAACAACCGTCCGGATTGCTGCGTATTTTGTGAGTGTTTACTGTGTATTTTCAAATACACAATAAATACTCACAAAATATACATCAAATCAATGAATACTCATAAAATACTCATTGAATACTCACAAAATATTGAGCAAATACTCACAAGATACTCAATAATACTCACAACTGTGAATTTTGTGAGTATTTAATGCGTATTTGAAAAAAAACATAGTAAATGCTCACAAAATATGCAGTAAATCCAGACGACTTTTCTGTTCGGACTCCGAACAGAATAATTTCACCTTTTTTAATGTGTTTTCTATGAACTTTTTACATGAGCAATTAAAGGATATTGTCATAATTATGCTTAAACTTTACTTCAGTACTTATGATAAATTTTATGATGACATGTTCACCATGAAATGCAGTTTCTTTAGTTATTTTGTTTGATTTTTCTTTATTTGTTTTGGTTCTGGACTAATTAGGCTTCCATCCTTAGGCAAGGAGAAAAATTGTTGAAATTCTGAAGGAGATAATTGGCAAGAGGAGGATTTCTCACAGCTCCCAGCTTGACATGCTTGATCTTCTACTTAAGACTGATGATAATATGAAATCTAAACTTACTGAAGAACAAATCATAGATTTAATCATTGCACTAATTTATTCGGGCTATGAAACGGTCTCGACAACTACAATGATGGCTGTCAAATTCCTCCATGACCATCCAAGAGCTCTTCAACAACTCAGAGTAAGAATGTTACCTGAGCTTAAATTTAACAGAAGCTCCAAATGTTGAAATATTACCGTTGAACTCATTAAACTGCTTATTATTCTGCAGGAAGAGCACTTCGAGATTAGGAAAGGGAAGTCCACTGAGGAAGGAATAGATTGGAATGATTATAAGTCTATGACTTTCACTCGTGCGGTAAGTAGAAAAGCCTATAATCTATTTCAGAATGATTTTTGTTATTATAATGACATAATGATTTTGTTGATGCAGGTAATTTTTGAGACATTGAGATTGGCCACAGTTGTTAATGGTGTCTTGAGAAAAACAACCCAAGACATAGAAATGAAAGGTGAACTGAGCTTCTTACATCTGATGAAACAATAGCAGGATCTTAAGACTTCATTTGGGACGGCTTTCTTATTCCTTCTTAAAACAGCTTTTTAGTAAAAAAATTTTTATACTAGGAAGCTGCTTTAAGAAGCAAAGAGAAAGCCGTCCCAACGAAGCCTAAAGCTGGAGCACTGAAAAATAACTGTGCAATTCTCTTGCTTTTCAGGATTTTTAATACCAAAAGGATGGAGAATCTATGTTTACACAAGGGAGATCAACTATGATCCTTACCTGTATAACGAGCCCTTGATCTTCAATCCATGGAGATGGATGGTGAGTTTTTGTTAGATCTACTGAAGTCTGAAAATTTTGTAGATCATTTAGGTTTTGTTTGGGACAGCTTTCTTACTGCTTCTTAAAACAACTTTCTAGTATAAAAAAATTAATTTTTAAACTAAAAAGCTGCTTTAAGAAGCATTAAAAAAGTCATCCCAAACGAATCCTTAGTTTATTTCATTTCTGATACAAAAAGTTTTTCTTGATAAACAGGACAGAAACCTTGATTCACACCAGTATTTTATGCTGTTTGGAGGGGGAAGTAGGCTGTGTCCTGGAAAGGAGTTGGGCACAGTGGAGATTGCTACATTCCTTCACTATTTCGTCACTAGATACAGGTACTAACTGTACTGAAAACTGCATCTGTTAATAGATGCCATGTACTAGTATCAGAATATATTTTTATATGTATTTGATACATATTATGGGCAAAGTTTTCAAGCTATTTCTCTGCTACAAACTTAAAAATCCTGAGCCTTTGCTTTGATCAATTCTATCTATTACTTAGTCAATGCAATTGATGATGCAGATGGGAAGAAGTTGGGGTAGCAACAATACATAAATTTCCAAGAGTTGAAGCGCCTCATGGGCTACATATTCGTGTTGAGAGTTACTAAGTTCAGCAGTTCAGCATATATATATATATAGAGAGAGAGAGAGAGAAATACATGTTTACTGACACATGTTAATAGGTTTTTTGTTTTGTTTTTTTGACTATGAGAAGGATGTATTGCTCATTGTGTAGCTATGTAAGTAGATTTTATGATAAGAGAATGAAGAGTTATAACATGTTTATTGACAAGTGATGGATGTTTGTGAATTTTGTACCGGAGAAGTTATTCTGTGTGGAGTTATAAGATTTGTTCGGACTGTGAGTGTACAAATTCTGTATAAATAGTGTGTTGATATGCACTGTGTATAACAGTGTGTATACTCACATGTCAGGACGGTTCTTCTCATTTGGACTCAACACAAAATAATTTATCTTGTCGAGGGGCTTTTTCAACTTTTGTAATGTTTTAAAACCTAAATTATTGAAAATGTTGAGCATCTAATGGATTTTAGAAGCTAACATAACAAGTTGAGCTTTATTAATGTATTTTGTTAATTAAAACTGTATTATATTCTACATAGGATTACTGAATACAATATTCAAACACTAAATTCCTCTTGTATTTCATTTATAACATGAAAGTTATACATATAAATTATTATTAAATTTTCTAATAATTCATTGATTAAATACAAAAATGTTTCGTTTTTATGATTTTTTTATTATTTTTTAAAGTAACTTTTAATTATAATTTTTTTTTTAAAATCAGCCACCAAAATTTTCTCACATGAAGCTTAAATATATCTTAGACAATGAGGGTGATTGAATAGCAGAAGGCATATAATATGCAAAATATTAGGCTTAACATAAGAAAATCCGATATTCGGAATTAAATTAGTTAATTAAATTAAAAATTAAAAATAAATTAACTAGTTTAATAATTCATTATTAAATTAAATAAACTATTTTTATCTTTAAAAAAAAATTAAGTTTATGTTTTAAACAATAATAACTTTTACTATTTTATACGTTATAATTTAAATAAAACAAAGTATCGTTCCAAGCAGCTTTACCTTAGCAGCCTGATGGTTGAGGCCGTGCGCACGAACTTTTATTACGTCCGGTGTAAGGACGTAGAGGAACGTCCGGTTGAAGGCAAAATGCTGCCAAAAAACTCGGTATTTGCTTGGTACAACTAGGTATTATTTGACATTAACGAGAAATACCGCTCTTTGAAGGCCAATACCGAGTTATACCGAGATGTACTGAGAAATACCGAGTTGTACCGAGTTTTTCTAGGAAAAACTCGGTACAACTTTTGTTTAACTCGATATTTCTCGATTTAGCTCGGTATAACTCGGTATTGGGTCTTCAAATGATGATATTCATCGTTATTATTTGGTATTGCTCGGTATTTGCTCGGTACAACTCGTTTTTTGACGGGATTTGGCCTTCGACCGGACGTTCCTCTGCGTTCGGTCGGAGGACGTAATAATTGTTCCGTGCACACGGGGAAGACGGGGTTCCAAGCCCGCCGTATAAGTGAGCTGGGGCAAGCAGCTCGTGGGCCAGCGGGCGGGGTGGGCAGTAGAAGTAGCTGGGCTGGGTTTGAAGTGTGTAGCGCGCGAGCGGGCTGGGCTTAATGGGTTGCCTGTGGGCTGGGCGACGCGGGTGGGGCTGGCTTGCCTAGGTTGGGCTGGCGGGCTGGCCTGAATAAATGTAATATATATTTTAAAATTTTTCCAGCATAATTTCACCGGCATATTATTTCCACTGGAAATGTTTCCAGCGGATTATTTTGTGCCTGTGCGTTTTCCCGACGCACGTTTTACAGTCCAAAATACTAATTTCCGGTAAATTTTGAGCATTTTCCAACAAATTTTGACCACCGAAAAGATGCGAGTTTCCTGTAGTGGATAGGACATTCATGGATTCCAGTAGAAGAAGGTTGTGATAGAAGGCAAATTATTTCCGTTGGGGCAAGCAGCTCGTGCGCCAACAGGCGGGGTGGGCAGTAAAAGTAGTTGGGCTGGGCTTGAAGTGTGTAGCATGCGAGCGGGCTGAGCTTAATGGGCTGCTTGTGGGCTGGGCGAGGAGGGTGGGGCTGGCTTGCCTAGATTGGGCTGGTGGGCTGGCCTGAATAAATGTAATATATATTTTTTAAAATTTCACCGAAATTTTTACTCAGCTGGAAATGTTTCTGGCAGATTATTTTGCGCCTGTGACATTTTACTGACCCACATTTTACAGTTCAAAATACTAATTTCCGACAAACTTTGAATATTTTCCGGCAGATTTTGACGGCCGGAAACATACGATCTTCCTGTAATGGATGGGACATTTGTGGATTCCGGTAGAAGGCTGCGACAGAAGGTGGTCGGCTATAGGTGAGGCAACAATTGGGAGTCGAATGCAGCCAGAGGGAGTCCAAGGAGCTGCGAATGTGGCTGTGGTGGAATCAGGGCAACAAGAAGAGAAGTCTTGATGGCCTGCCCTCATAATGTTTGATAATCTATTCAATCTTGCTACTCTTAAACACACACAGAACAATAGAGGTAATCACTTTATATGCAAAAAAAGAAAACTAGCAGAGTCTATTGACAACAAACTAAATGAATTAAGCAAATATTACCATTGAACTCAATAACTACTGTGGTAGCAAATGCCAGAAGTGAAATTTGAGGAAGACAACAGGCTAAACAACAATAGAAGTAACTCACTCTTGATCAAATATCACAATTGGCAGAATAAATATCATTCACATTTCTTCTTTGGTGAAGTCTTTATCCATTCTTCTGATTCTTCTTACAGGCATCCTTATAGCTTTTTCTGCATCCGAATGCAAATACGTGAGTGATGGTTATGCACTTATCACTAATAGATATGCTTTCATTTGAATATATGTATAGATCCAACCTTTTTGACTAATTATATTTATATTTAGTTAATATGTAAATAATATACTCTTAACAGCATATAATGAAGAAAAATGATTCATTTAGCTGATCCCACGTAGTGGGATAAAGGCTTAGGCTTTGTTTGGGACGGCTTTCTTGTTGTTTCTTAAAGTAGCTTTCTAGTACAAATATTTTAATTTTTATAATGAGAAGCTGCTTTAAAAAGCAGCAAAAAAACCGTCCCAAACGAAGCCTTAATGTTACTGTTGTTGCTGTGAAGATCAATTAATATATTCATATGATTTTGTTAAAAAAAAGAAAGAATTTGAAGTGCCGGGATCAAGCATGTTTGGATCTAGAAGAAATAGAACATAAATAAAAATTTTAATTTTGAGAATTAAAGTTGAGCAATTAACATAGAAAATATCAAGAATACTAGAGAATAACATCAAAACGAGGAACAGTTTTATAAAACTGAGAGTGAGGTGATAAAAACTCACTGACAGAAGAGTTGAGTGTGATAAAAATGAAAATGTTACAACAGATATATGATAGAATTGAAAAAGTTGAATTAAACAAAGAGTAATAGAAAATTAGAGGGTATTTTACTATGATATTTGTAAGGAAGATAAAATATTCAAGATCAAAAATTAATCTTTTACCTCCAAAAGACATTTAACTGAGAAAATCTGAAGCGGAGGTTCATTGCCTTGAAAAACCTATTCATTTTCATCGGTTTTTGGTAACGAACTGATAATATCCCTCTTCTCCATATATATTTCTGGAAGTAAATAAATAAATATATATATATATATATATATATATATGAGAGAGCCAACTCAACAATTAGGGAAATAAAATAGCATATATCTCAAACAAAATGCATCAAAGTATAATCTTCATATCCTAAAAGAAAAAATATCTTTCAGCAAGATGAAAATAAGTTCAACCAGCTATATAGGCAACAGAAATAATGATTTTTTTTTTTTTTTTTCAATAGAACAATCAAAGGCATAAAACCCTCCTCAAGAAGAAATTATTCTGTACGGAGACCGGATGCAGAACGTTGTCCGGACACCAATCAGAATTCGTCACGTCAGTAGTACCGAGCTACGATACCGAGCGAAGTGGTGACATGACGCATTCTGATTGGTCTCCAGATAGCATTCGGCGCCCGCACAGAATAATTAATCCTCCTCAAGATGGTTAAAGTGGTAAGCCTGAAATGCAGTTTCCAGAGGACAAACTTTTAGAGTTTTACTAATGTTTATAGAAATAGAAGGGACCAGCAAACCAACTAGCTAACACCATTCTTCCCTTGAAGATTCAAGTCCGTGAGAATTTGAACCTACCTAATTTTATATTCATTCTTCCTTCCTTTTTGCTACCACATACTGTCCCATCAATTGCACAGAATATTTCTAATGGTTTCAACCAATCATTTTGCTTTCCAGTCTGGGGACAGCTTCAATGAATCCTCATAGAAGCAAATCCACAGTAGATGAAAATTTTGGCATGTCCGCTGTCAATCTTTCGGACTGGAAGCCGAACTTTTGATATGACCACTGAGGCTCAATAAATCGCTTAGACAAAATAAATCCATCTCGGACCTCAAAATTTGCTAAATTCGTCAAAGAAATCCCAAAAGTTGCAAGCTTGACAAATCCCTTCTTCCTCAAGATCGCACCTACTCATCCAAAGTAACTGTCTTTTGAAAGACTTTACCAAAAGAACTCGTTAGGGGTACTCACCCTTTCTTGGAACTCATCTACAATTCTCACTTAGCAAATAGCTGCAATCCAACTTATTTGATATAAGAATGGCCAAACTGAGATAATTACTACAATTTTCTTGCTATTTACTGTATAACTCATCATGTACCATTGACCTTAATCCACAAATATAAATAGGGGACCAAGGATAAGGTGTAGAAAGATTATGTCATATGACCTCTTTATGAACATTTATGGTTAAATCTCTATCCTCAGAATTTCCCCAAAACTTCTATTTATCCTATAATTCTCAGTCAATCAAATAGATTATCTACCTAACAATCTCTATCTACTTTTCTCTTTTATCTTTCTAGGTTGAATCTAAACTTATATTAATGTCTTAGTGTGGCTCCACAAACATTATTATATTTAACATCTTCAAAGGTACATTAAGCGTGAACAATGACAAAAACTAGGAACCAAGACATGGTTGGACCTACGAAGCATTCCTTACTAAGAAATCACAATAATAATTAGTTTTACCTTCGAATAACTCTTAAATAAAAAGGACAATCTTAGATGACCTAGAGAATTTAAAAGAGAAACCCTTAGTAAGTCCCTATCATGCATTCGATATGCCTTAACCACATTTCCTGGCATTCCTGCTCATCACCACTAAGCCTTTACGCATGTAGCGACATCGGTTCTTTCTCATAATGTTTGAGATATTAAGGAGAGTTTTAGAGAAACTCCATTCTCTCAGTGACCTTGCAAATATCCACTCAATTGACTAATACATTTTCAATTAAGATTCTCGAGGCTCAACCGCTAGTTAGATTCAAGATGCCCTTGTTATACTCTTACAAGAAATTCTAAAGACGGTTTTAAAAGATTAACATTATGTGAAACTCTTTATTAGTTTAAAGAACTGCATATATAATTTTGTTTTATGCTTAATGAAAGTATTTCAATAGGCCCTAAGAAAGCTCGAAATATCAAAGAATAGCCCACCGAACTAAAATTACATTGATGTAGGACTAGTATGTGAAGACTTGCATTATGAAATTAAACACAAGTTGAATTTAAAATTAGCAAGTTATTAATCATGGGGATGCGTAAAACAAGGTTCAAAACAAGTAAGAAAGGCATTTCACAAATAGAAATTAATATTAAAAATAAGGAGAGGTAATTAATGGTTCAACTTCCCATTAATTAACATGAAACGTTCTAAGGGACAAGTCGGGTCCAATAGGAATCCCAAAGGTCAAAATTTCATATTTGGGAAATTTGTAGGATGTCTAGAGGCTTAATATAAATCTAGGTTTAGATGCACAAAATCATATGCACAAACCTAATTATGCAAATCAAAAGCTTTTAACTTAAGCAAAATTCTCTCTTTAGATGAAAATTAGAAAATACATGAAGTTTGTCCCAAACAATATAACTACAAAAAATAAATAAATAAAAAACAATAAATTGAGAAAGTTCAACCAAAGCTTTATTGCCAAAAGTTCAATTACCCTTGGAATGACATACGCAACAAATCCATACTGCATGTAACTCAATTATCAATGAGGGATAAATACAAATCTATGATTCAATTGGTCACCATGGACCACAAAAGCAAAATAATTGTTATGACAGCCTCTATTAGTATCTTCACATTATGCAACTAGGGATTCAAACTCATTACCAAGTGTGATACAAAATTGATATGGGACCACTTAGCGCGACCAATAGCTCAAAAAGCCCAAACTAATGTAAAAGTAGCAACAAATACCTTTTAGCCAAAGTTCTAAAAACCCTAAATCTATGGATGTGTCGCAATCACCATAACTCAAACATCTATGGTGCTTAAATGCATATTTGTGACTCAATTATCCATCATATACATATAGTAAAAAAAACAACAGTTATCTTGTACTCATGATATTCATATATATAAAAAAGATAATTCAAATAATTTAAAGTTATCACCCCAGCCTTTCAAAACATAGAAGAGAATTTTTTTTATGTTCCTAACTTTGAATTCTTAAATTATTCTAAAATCTTTAAGGCAACTAAGAAGGGCCCTACTGTTGGGATAGGTGGAAAATAGAGTTAGAAAGGCCATCCAAGGGCATAATATAATAGAAATGGTGTATTTGTGCTAATGCATGATAAAGAGAGTGCTTGATGTACAACGCATGCTTTAATACTCTGACATCCATACCTCGCTTATTGTGAGAATACTGATAGGAAATACTTGAGTTCGCAAGTAACCCTTAAGGTAATACTTGAGTTCGCAAGCAAACCTAACCAAAATCAGCACAAACGAAGAGGAAACTGCTGTTTTGTAGCAGAAAACAGCAGTTTTTCAGTAGAAAACAGCAACTTACAGCAAATCAGTGGAAGAAATCTCAAGCAAAACAAGATCTTTCATTAAAGGATTCAAGAAAACAATAAAAGATACACGTTCCTTCGATTCGAGAGGAAGAAACAACTCTCCAAAACTCTAGCAAACCCTAGAGCCCAAGAAAAAGAAACCCTAGATCTCCAATCTCATTCAAATTCAAGATAGTCCAAATCCCTCCAAAACTCCTCCATAAAAAGAAAGGATTCAAGCAAATTTCCTAAACAGCCCTTCCCTCAAATAATTTCCCCCCAAACAGTGCATTTAACCCACGGTGGGCTCCCCATGGCTTCCGCCCTCCCTACTAGCTCCGCCTGGAGCTCCCCGCTTCCTCACGTAGAACCGGACCGGTCTGGTCTGGACCGGTCCAGCCAAGCCCGACGTAACAAATACATTACAATGGACTTAATCCTTTGCCTCTCAAGCACCGTTAGGATGACGGTCTTGAAAAGGTTATCCAAGATGCACACCATTTTCCATAAAAGGCAATAAATGCATTGCAAGTTGTGAGAAGTTTTTCCGGGATTCCTTTTATTTGCATCTTTAGTAAATTTATAATTGTAATGGCTCCTAGTTTGCCTTGGCGTATGTCTGCATGTTTAATAATTGCGTTACATGCATCATATAGAAAACCTAAACATTTCATCACATCCCAATTATTTGCTTCATTGCTTTTCATTTTAGTGAATCCTTAGGTTTTTATTTTCACATCTACCTTTTTTTTAAACCTTTATATATAGACATGTCTTGCATCAGTTTCACTCAATAGATAGGATTAGCTTTGAGCTTTGTTGTGACATTACAGCGCATATTCGGCAAAAGTGCGGTAGAAATATGTTATTTTGGTAGATCAAAGATCTCTAGTCGATTTATCATTTTATAAAGTAAAATTAGAATTCTTTTGTGTAGTACAAGCCAACACAAAAAAAAAAAATTTTTTGAACAAAAATTTTATGCAATAAATCACAGAGAACTTACTAAAATGTTTGAGAACAAAAGAAACTTTATATTGTTTCATACAATTGAATAATGTAAATCATTGACCTAAAATAGCTATTTTGCATAAATTGTCAACTTCCTGAAAAAACAACTGAAATTAGGAAGCCACACGATAAAAGCCATACTACAAACCAACTAAAGTTTAAGCAGTTTAAGAATCCAACAACAAACATAGGTGAATTATAGCATTCCATAATCTTCCGCTAAACATGGTAAGACTCTTCATGAGAAAACAAATCAATCATTACTAGTAGATGAATTTGTCTTTGCCCAAAAATAATTGCTGCATAAGAAAATCATGTGCTCATGAAAGGGATAAGGACTTACGCTAAGTCTGCAATAGTTTGCGATTTAGTTACAACTTTTCCTTCTGCAAGTTCAAGGCAGGAGTAGTGCATTATCATTTCCTTCAATGTCTGCTTGGTGCTTTTGACACCATTGTCCCACAAAATGCACTGCAGGCATGATTAGGACAAAATAAGACAACAAAATATCCAAAAGAATAATAACCTGCTTAAAGAACTGCATGGTATCTCAGAATAAGCATTCCATAATAATTGATCATCTAAAGATCAAATTCTACAGAAAAAACCAACCCAAATGGTGGAGAGGGTAGAAGACGAACACCTTCCTCAAGTACTCTCTCTTGACATCCTCCCAAGATAACTTCCCTTCTGCACGAAAAATTGAAGCATTCCACAAAGCACCTCTTGCCACCATCACAGCCGTAGCACCTGAGATGAGTTTAGGAAATATCTAAAATATTAACCTTACAACTTTTGGTTTTATAAAAATAGTACTTAAAAATGCCACCAATGATTGTTCAAGGTATATTCAAGCAGAGTCACTAAGGTTGGTAAGGAAAAGCTATCATTGTAGAAAAAACTAACAATTGAATGACATCAACAATGACATCAAATAAAAGCTATACAGCTAGCTTTGTGGATGGAAGCCATACAGTTTCCTGCCCTCTACAATTTAAGCAAAACTGCAAAGTTTATAAATGTTTACTGAAGTCCATCACCTCGCTCATCCAATCAAAATTTTATTGATAATCACCATTCAACGACTATCTCTTCAATTTACTGCAAGAAGAATGCATTTGATGTGAAACCAGGAATTGAATTTAGAAGCTTAATAAAATATTGTTAAGTGGTGAAATTGCAAGCTTAATATTGTTCACAATTGAAACTTCTCAGAGATCTTAGAATTCAACTACGATTAGGCAAGAGCTTACACCTAAAATAGAAAGATCGGTAAAATAACAACAGTAAATAAAGTAAAGCAAATGAAATGCCAATTAGAATCCTGTGGTTAACAAAGCGATTGTCTCACCTTGAGGCGTCACTCATTTACCTACTTCTAGGCTTGTTGAGAGAAGAAGAACCATGCAAGTGATGAGACCACTCCGAGGGCGATGGTGCCGTAGATCCGTAGGGAAGGAGAGGACGGCGCCGGACGTGGAGGTGGTGTGTAACGACGCCCTTCGATAATCCACGTGTAGACGGAGAAGTGATCGTCGATGGACTCCACTAGAGCTGGGAGGATCCGGTCCAAATATTCTTCGACGGTGTCGTCGAAGTCAAATCCGACGTCGAAGAAGGGAGATCGGAGGATGTTCATGTTAGGCGGGCCCCTCCGATCCTTACTTACTCTAGGCGGGCCCCACATGGAGTTAATTCAAGGGTTGGAGGGAAAATTTGAATGGAAAGGGGGGGGGGAATTTGAATAGAAGGGCTGTTTAGGGATTTTGTATGGGGATGAGAGTTAAAGAGGGGGAAAGGGGGGAATTAGGTCCTCATCTTGAATTTGAATGAAAAGTTTGAGATCTCATTGTGTGCTTGGGCTCTAGGGTTTGCTAGAGACTTGTGGAGAGTTGTTCTTCCTCTCGAATCGAAGGACGTTGTATCTTTCTTTGTTTTCTTGCATCT